TTTTCCAATGGGATATTTCACATTTTCTTCTAATTTTTTTTTATTTTTTTAAATTTTGTTTTATTGTTTTTTGATGTCTCATGGAGTCATTAACTTCCACTTGCCCAGTTCTAATTTTTAAGGAACTACTTTCTTCAGTGAGCTTTTGGACCTCCTTTTCCATTTGGCAAATTGTGCTTTTTAAGGAGTTCTTTTTTCTTTCTTTTTTTTTATAAAAATTTAAATTCTAAAATGTAAAAACATAATAAGAAAAGGGGGAAAAAAGCATTGCCATGGGCATAGTAGAATGTAAGAGAGGATTCAAAATATACAGCAATAAATTTCCATTTCAAGAAAACCTTTATAATAAATGCTACACACTGTGTTCGGAGCTTTTCTTTGCTTCCTTGTGAAGTTTTCTTTTGCTCTCTGCTGTGCACTTTTTTTCACTTAATAGTATTTCATTTTTTCCAATTACATGTAAAGATAGTTTTCAACATTCACTTTTTTAACCTCCCCCAAAAAGAGGGCTACAATTAAGTGCAGATATATTCAAATATACACATACATATATATTTATACAGATAAAGATATATAAACACATACATATACACATACATACACTTACATACACATACATATGCTTAGATATCTATAATCATACTCATATATAGACATGTATTCATGTGCATCTATGTAATAACATACTATACTTACTTGTCCTCTGTTTCTCTGAGGGTGGATAACTTCTTCCTCATAAGTGCAAGCCTTTCTACATTTTTCCAAGTCCACCAACTCATCATTTCCTACACTACAGCAATATTCCAACCTTAGACTGTCTAGTTATTTTAAATGGTCCAAAACAATATTGATGAATATGGCTAACACATAGTATAATTTTTTTCTTTTTTGATTAAATCTATCTTAGACTTAATTTTGTCCAAGATCATGCTAAGGAATTCTGTTCCTTTTATTTTATCTTTGTGCAGATCTCTTATTTCCTATCCCTTCTGACTCTTCTACTTTACTTCCACCCACTATCTTGCTCTCTTATTACTTAACTTTACCCCCTCCAAGGATCCCTCCCTAGTCCTCCCATTCTCATTAATCTAAACACCCTTCTATAATCTTCCCTAATCCTATTTCCTCACCCTCCCCTCTAAAAATTCTTCCCTTATCCTCTCACCCCTCCCTATCCTGTAAGCTTTTTATTTCTTTCTAAATTTAGAAGGCTCATACCCATATATATATGTGTGTATATATATATAAACATATATGCATATATATGTTTATGTATATATGTATGTGTGTGTGTGTGTGTATAATGTAAGGATGTATGTTTCCTCCTAAACTCATTCCCAATGAAAATAAGCTTCCATAACTATCAGCCCTCCTCCCCCATCTAATTCTTCTGTGTCAGTTCTTCCTCTTGCTCTTCATTTGTATAATTACTCTTTTTACCTGTTCCTAAACAGGTATGATTTTGAAATCGTATCATGCTCAAACCTACCCCAATTTTTCTTATGGACTGCCCAATTATTAATGATAATCTCTGGCCCACATTTTACATTTCCTCATATAAAAGGTAAAAGTGTGTCCTTATTGAGTCCCTTATAATTAGTTTTTTGTGTGTACCTTATATTTCTCTTGACTCTTGTATGCCAAATCTTCTATTAAGTTCAGGGTTTTTTTTTAGGTCCTGAAAGTCTGACAATTCATTAAATGTCCATTCTTTTTTTCATTCAGGACTATGCTTAATTTTTCTGGGTATGATATTTTTGGCTGCAGCCCCTGTTCTTTTGCTCTTTGATATATAGTGTTCCAAGAACTGTGGTGCTTTAGTTTCTCCATTGCTAGGTCTTGTGTGATTCTAATTGTGGCAGTGCCATATTTAAATTGTTTTGTTTTGTTTTGTTTTGTTTGTCTTGTTGCTCATAATATTTTATCCTTGAGCTGGAGTTTTCAAATTTGACTATGATATTCCTGTAGGTTTTCCTCATAGGATCTCTTTCAGGTGGTGTTTGGTGGATTTTTTTTTCTATTTCTACTTTCCCCTCTTGTTCTAATACTTCGGTGCAACTTTCTTTAATTACGTCTTGTATTATTGTACCAAGATTCTTTTTTTTATCATAACTTTCATGTAGTCCAATCATTCTTATATTTTTTCTTCTTGATCTGTTCTTCTCAGGTGTTTTTCTCCTCAGTTGTTTTTCTTATGAGCTGTTTCACATTCTCTTCTATTTGTTCATTCTTTATATCTTGTTTTATTATTTCTTGGTCTCTTATAATGTTACTGGCTTCCCCTTGTTCAATTTTAATTTTCAAGGAGTCATTTTCTTTCTTAAGAGTCTGGATCTCCTTTTCTAATTGACTGACTTTCTTTTCATAATCTTCTTGTTTTTCTTGGATTGTTCTTTTTAAATTTTTCCCCCTCTCTCATTTGATTTGTAAAGTTTTTTTCAAGTTCTTCTGTGAATTCTTTTTGGGCATGTGATCATTTGACCTTACTCTTTGGGGTAAAACAGGCTTTCCTTACTTTAGTATCCTCCTCTGAAGATGAACTCTGGTTTTCTCTATCCCCACAGTAACTTTTTGTGGTTGGATTCTTTCTCCTTTGCCTGCTCATTTTTTTCTAAATTTATAGTAGTTTGTTTTGTGTAATTTCCTCTAGTCTTGGGGTATGGGGGATGGTGTCTCTGGCCTCACATCCTCTTTCAGTTCTCTCCTCTCACCTGGAACTGAAAGCAAGACCTCCAACCTCTTATAAGTGTCCATAGCCAGCAATGCCCCACTGCTTTTGCACTCAGGGAGTGTGTGCTGATTCCTTCTCACCCAGGGCCACATCTCAGCAGCACAGCTGAGCTTGGTGTCCCTTATCAGCAGAGATTCCCTCAATCTTCTGCTATTCCTATACCTGACTCCCCCCACTGGAAGTGAAAGTTCCCATGGCTGGGGCTAAGGCTACTTCCCAACCCACCTAGCCCCAGGGCTCATTGCTTGATGTTTCAGCAGAACTAGCCTGGAGGTGTTTACACTTCACAGGGACCAAATCTTAGTCTTGGGATTTTTTTCTTCCATTCTCTCTGATTTTCCTGGGAGGACTACTTTTCTGTCCCAATTCTTTTTTTTTTTTAAACCACTCTATATTCACCCTGAGGTGTTATTTTTGTCTTGTTTGTGGACGAAATCTGGAGAGCTTAGAATTTTCTGACCTACTCTACCATCTTCCCAGAATTCTTCCCCAGGAGTTATGTTTTTCAGTGAAATTTCATACCACTTTTTCTATTTGGCCAATTCTGCTTTTTAAGGTGTTCTCTCCAGTGAATTTTTGTGCTTCTTCTATTATTTGGCCTATCCTGTCTTTTAAGGTGTTATTTTCTTCAGTATTTTTATATGCCTTCTTTACCAAGTTGTTTACTCTTTTTTTTTATGATTTTCTTGCATCACTCTCATTTATTTTCCCAATCTTTCCTCTACTTCTTTTATTTGTTTTTTTAAAATCCTTTTTGAGCTCTTCCAGGAATTTTTGGTCTGAGACCAATGCACATTTCTCTTTCAGGCTTTGGCTGTAGCTGCTTTGACTTTGTTGTCTTCCTCTGAGTTTGTGTTTTGATCTTCTTTACTACCATTTTAACTTTCTATGGTCAGGGTTGTTTTTTTTGTTTGTTTTGTTTTGTTTTGCTCATTTTCCAGCCTATTTCTTGACTTTTAACTTCATGTCAAAGTTGTGCTCTGCTCCCAGGACAGAGAAGGTATTGTCCCAAGCTTCAGATTTTTTAATACTGCTTTTTTTCAGAGCTAGGGTCTATAAGTTTTCTGTTCTTTGAAGGTGATATGATCTAAAGAGAGAGGTGGTCACTGCTCTTTTGGCCTGTGCTCTGGTCTGTGAGCAACCACAAGCACTCTTCTCTGCCCCAAACACTGGAACTGTGACCAGGACCCTTATACCCCTGCAGCCACACACTCCAGTATACTAGTGTTCCTCCTCTTTGCCTTGGGAATGTAACCCAGAACCACATATGAACAATGCAACAGAGTCCTGCACCAAAGGGTTCCCTCTAACCTTTTTTTTCTTACCAGTTGTCTAACACACACACACACACACACACACACACACACACACACACACACAGTATCAGTGGGTGAGAGCTCCAGAAGTTATGGCTGCTGATGCAGTTCACACATACCCCACCCCCACACCTCTGGCCTTCTGGGGTGTGGCCCACACTGGACTGAACTCTACTCTCACACCAGTGAGATAGACCTTTCTTGCTAAACTTTTTGGTTGCCTTGGGATAGAAAATTGTTTCACTGCATCCTTTTGTTGGTTTTGCTGCTCTATAATTCATTTTGAGGTATTATTTTAAAGTTGTTTGAAGGGGAATTTAGGTGAACTCAGATGAGTCCCAGCCTTTACTCCCTCATCTTGGCTTCACCTCTCAATTTGAGTAAATTACCTAACCATTCTGAGCCTCAATTTCCTTATACATAAGAAGATTGAATTACTTGAGGTCCCTCATAGCATGAAATTTATGTTCCATGAGCTCAATGAAACACACAGAATACCCATGACTAGAAATGGGGTAAAGTAAGGTATCAAGACAGAGATACCTAAAGCCGTAAGGAATCTAAGTGACACTTGTCTCTAAACTTGAGAAAAGTTAGGATTTGTATTTCCCCAAGCTCTTGTCATAACCAACTAAGATAGAGAAAGTGTTGTCCTAATGACTTTACTAAATATACAATAAAGTCCATGTGATTGCCCTCAGAAGTGTGGCCTGAGGGTTTTGCTCTTGTGAGGACTCATTGCTCTGCTAAGAGATAAGGGAAACATTTTCTTCAGGGAGAAGCAACCATAAGAGGCATCTACCAAGCTCTGGGCTAGGGGCCAGGAAGGCAGAGAGCTTGCTAAGATAACACAATTAATCCCCTATGCCTGAGGGGAACAACAGAAAGGAATATATAATGCCTCCTTGCTTCAGAAATTTGATTTACTCTGGATCACAGACACATGGCCCAGATATAATTCTCTAATCCTGAGAGACAGCTGGTATGTCTCCTTAAGCCACAAAATCAAGGACAACTGTTCCAACCTGTGTATCTCCCAGAAAGGTAGGATTGTTCTCTCCATCTCTTAATCCCACAATAATGTTTTGCAAAGAAAATAACACCATAGAGGATATTAATAAAAATTTTCTCAAAAGATTTGAAGAATATTAACAATCACATGAGAGAATATCTAAATCATTAATAAGAAAAGTGCAAGTCAAAGCAACTCTGAGATTTTACCTTACAACCAGCAAATTTGCAAATGTGACAAAAAATTGGAACAGTCAGCCCTGGAGGGGTTGTGGAAAGATAGGTATTCTGGTGCACTGTTGGTGAAATAATATAGGCATTGTTCTGTAAAGTAATTTGGAATTGTGGTAAGAAAATTATTAAAATGTCCATACCCTTTGACCTCAGATTCCACTGTTAGTCATATAACTGGTTCAAGGAGATCAAAGACAGAGAGGTCCTATATACATCAAAGAACGTATAGCAACAGTTTTTATAGTAGCAAAGATGCAATTGGGAAATGGCTAAATAAGTTGTGGCAACTCAATATAGAATATAACTACACTATAATAAATAAAGAATACAGAGAAACATGAGAAGATATATGTGAGCTGATGTCAAGTGAAGTAAAAAAAGGTACACACACAAATATATACACATATGTATTTGCATATATACATATGTGTGCATATATGCATATATATATACATATATACACACATACATATACATGAACAAATTGGCCTTAAACACTAAAGAAGAAAATCCTTTCCTCCTTTGTAGAGATAAGGAACTATGAGTGTGGATCACTGAATATTATATCAGATTTATTTAATACATTGATTAGTTCTGCTGATCTGCTTTTTAAAATTTCTTTTTTAATACTTTTTTTAATAAGATTTCTCACTAAGTTGGGGAAAGGAAGAGATAACATTTAGAAATGGCTAATATGAAAGCAAATGACATTTTGAAATAATGTTTAAAGGGGTGTGGAGAAGTTATTGAAATCATCAAGAATGAAGTCATCAGGATCTAGACTAGTACTGATCATCAGAATGGTGAAGAGGGTTCAACTGTCAGATACTGAATGGGAAAACCAACTAGATCCTGTGATTGGTGGGATATAGCAAGTGATACAAAGAGAAAGTGATGCAAGTACAGTAGAACTCAACATCTGTGAGCTTGGGATTAGCTGGTAGATGGCAGTATCGTTGAGAAAGAAAGAAACTATATTTATATTTTCATATTTTATAATTCTGGACTTCTCTCTTCCTGTGCCCTCATCTCCCTCTCTGAACCCTTACCCTCTTAGTCCATCTTTATTCATCTCCTTTCTGAGTGCCTTCCCCATCACCATCTTCTTTCTAGTATTGTCCTCTATTGTACCCCTCTTTTTTTTTTCTAAATCTTCCATCCTCTCACTTTTCCCTACTCCTCTAAATCCCTTCACTTCTGATCCTCCTCACAGTACTATTATTATAGAATCATAGATGGAGATCTGGAAAAGACCTTAAAGGTCATCTAGTCAAATCTCTTCATTTTACAAATGAGAAGGAAATCCCAGAAGGGATAAGTGACTTGTCCAAATAACCACTAGAATCAGGATTTGAACATAGGCTGCCTGCCTCCAAATCCAGTGTTCTTTCTGTTTCTTGAAGCTTTAAATAGTCTTGAGGCATTGCCCAAAGGGCCAGCCAGGGTCTTTAGCCCAGCCTGTGTTGTCTCAATGCTTTCTTCCCTACCTGCCATCAGCCTAATCCACATCCTTGCCCATCCCACTTCAATCAAAAGGGGAGGCTGTGACTGGGTATGAGGAGGTAGGAGTGACTGCTCTCTGGGGTGTGACAGCTCTTTTTTCTCTTCTTCTATCCCAGGTGGGTCACTTTGGACATGAGGATGGAGAGTAAGGGGCTAGGCTTTCTCCTGCTCTAAGCTCTCAATACATCTAGCACCTCTAGATATCTGTTATCAGGAAGGTGGGAGGGGGATTTGGTTATTAGTACTAGGAAGAGATGCCCATGTAGATTATTAGGGCAAATAGGATATTCAGGGGGAGTCTCAAATTCTTAGATGGTATAAAGTAAATGACTGAATCACCAACCCCGCCAACTTCCCAACACATAAGTAAATAATGTAAAGAGTGTCTGTTTAGAATGTCTCTGCAGCAGTGTGGGACCTCCAAAATGAAGAAACTTTAGGACAAGACATTAGAAAGATCCCTGGATTTGAAGCCAGAAAACTTAGATTTGAATTCTAGCTCTGTTATTTATGTGAACTTAAGCAAGTCATACAATCAATCATGATTTCAATTTGCTCATCTATAATATGAGGGGGTTTTGTCAGAGGATCTGCAAGGTCCCTTCCTGCTCTAAATCCATTGGTCCCATGAAGTCAAGGTGCTATCTTCAAGTCAAAGCTTAGAGCTACAGACTTCTTCCTAGTCTGAGCCACGTTTCCACCATGAATGAACTAAGATCCTTGTGTCGGACCTGTGAAAGGTGAGGTTTCATCTCTGAAGGAAGTGGGTACACATTTGCAAATTACACTGCTTGCTGCTGCACTTGGGATGAATGGGTTTAGGTCAGCTGCATCAAATCTAGCATCAAATCCCAGGCCCAATGACCCTTTTTGGTTTGGGATCTTAGGGAGAAGCAGATACCTCAAAACCAAAGATGTCTTCCTCCTCGAGAAAGGTGGGGGAGGAGGAATCTCCCAGATGGTGCTAGATGTTAAGGGATTAGGCCACTAATAACCAATTTTGGTGGTCAAGAGGATGAAGCTAAGTAGAAGGCTGGTGGAGAAACTAAGATACTAGTCCCTTCTTCCTCGAAAATCTGAATCTGTATTAAAAAATGAACAATATGAAGTTTTCTATTTGTGAGTTTATGTTTGTTTTTCCTACAGAGAATCAAGTACAATCTGAAGAGACTAAATGGCATTTTTGCCAACATCAACTAAGACTCTCTTGGGGCTCTTCATCTTAATTCTTTGTGGATTCCCAGGTGAATAATGTTCTGAATCCTGGTTGGGATACTCTTTATCCACCAGAAAACATGGAAAGGAACCCAAGTTTCCTAGAACATATAATTTCTATTAGCTTTGGGAACTTTGATTTTGGGTTTCAAAATAGAAATTTTTAAAATACGGTGCCTTGAATTTATTATAAAACAATAAATTATCTTACTAGAGTGCACTATAGATTAGCAGCCATGAATTTTATAGAAGTACTCTTTGTTCATAATGATTTGGGATGAGCTACTGAAGGAAGGGCTTTGTTTTTTACCAAGAATCTTCAAGTTGCCTATATATATATATATATATATGTATGTATATATATATATTTATATATATATGTTTATATGTGTGTGTGTGTATATGTGTGTGTGTGTGTGTGTGTGTGTGTGTGTGTATATATATATATATATATACACATACTAGATGGGAACTGCAGTATTCTCTGAGCACCTGCACTGAATCTATCCTTCTTAGTCCCTCCTAGGTCCTATCATTCCCCTCCTCCCACTAGCAGAAATACTCCTCCAATTTCTACTAGGATCATGGACAGTGAAAGACCATTCTTTTATTGAATCTGGAATGGTGCATCCTTGTGCTGACCAGGTGTCCCTTTCCAACTCAAAAAAATTTAGTGACTCCCTATTGCCTCTAAGATGAAATGCAAAGTCTTCAACCAGGCATTTAAAGACCTATACAGTCTGACTATAACCTATCTTTCTAGACATTTCATATTGCCCTTTAGACTCCTGGAAACACAAGGTTCTATTGTCCGCAGTTTTAGAGTATTAAGTCTCTGTGACAACTTCCGTAAGGAATGAGGATGATTGTAGTCTCAAGCAGGACCATTTAAAACTCAACATGCTACCTCCCCTGTTACTATGCTCTCTCAGAGTGTCGCCTACACCTGGAATGCACTTCTTCCTCACTTTTACTGCTCAGAATCATGCCTTCAAAGCTCAACTTAGATGACATCTAAATTTTGTGAAGCATTTACTTTTTTATGTGAAGCTTTCTTCTGAATGCCTTAGTTCTTGTCATTCTCTCCCTTCTGAAATTGCCTCTTAAGTACTTATCTGCTTACATGGTAGATTTTATCTTTTTTGTCTATTGTCTATTGAATTGAAATGATGGATTAACCTATGAATTTTGGTTTTCTATGCCTTGGTTGTAGGTGTTTTCAGCAAACTGAAAGAACCCTCTTATGAAAAGGTAAGATTATCTTTCCATAATGTAAATCAGGCTTCAGGTCTAATTTTCATTCATGATTCAGAGCTTATATTTTCATGGTGAAGGTCTCCAACAAAAAGAAATAACACTGAGATGTTAGTAGGAAAAAAATAGTTCTGGATATAGGCATAAACAAGAGGCTATGTGACTCAGTGGATAGAGAACTAACATTGGAGTCAGGAAAACCTGGGATGACGTCCCACATCTGACTTGCAGTGACTATGGAAACCTGGGGGCAAGTAACTCTCTCAAATGTTCAGTTATGGAAAAAATGTCAATTTTCATTTTCTGAGGAAGTTCCTCACTGGGAGCTCCCTATACCCATAGGATAAAAGGTCTGATCAATAAACACAATATACATATGTGCATGTATGTTTATATATTTAATATATGTATGTGCATGTATATATACAAATGCGTATGCAGATTTGAGTAGAATTTAGAATTAATTGAAAGAGATGTTATATGTACATGTTACATGTATATCTATTACATACATTTAGTGAGTACAAACTACATACATACATACACAAGGTATATGTAAGTGTGTTTCTCTCTGTTCTAATATAATGAGAAGTAGTATTTACACTTAAATGAAGGATATAGAGAGATGCATAACTAGGAGTTTTTGCACCTTAGAAAAGCACTACAAACCATGCCCTTGGCAAGTGGCACCAAAAGCACCCTCAATTGTATGTTATATGAAAGGGCAGGGTAGGTACCACCCTGTAGGGGAGAAAAAGACCCCAAAGATATCATGAGGCTGATGATGGAGAGAGATAATCCTATCACTCCCTCCTCCTACCCCTTTCACCCCCACCCCACAAGGCCATTTTGGTAGTTTCCTGTCTAACTCATCCTGTATGACTCTAACTCCTGTCTAAGTCCTATCTAACATCATTATACCCATAACTGGGTAGTAAAGTTATTTGCTTCCTCACTTTTGGCATCCTGACATCTACTAAGAGATAGAGGGAAGGGAGACCGGTAGTAACCCTTAGAGCAAATAGTTCTTTAGGAGAGGCAGCTGAAAGATGACTTGAAGCACAGATATGAGGAGATCACTCCTGAGAGCCAGCTGTTAATTTTTCAGTATGATCATTAATACCTCAAAAATCACAAATGCTATAAGTTAGGATTTATTTGTTTTGTTTGTTTATCTGTTTGTTTATTTGTTTGTTTTGCTTCATTGTTCTCAACACTTTGGAAAGTAATGGACAAAATGTCAATAGTACAGATTAAACTTAAAAGTGTATTATACAAAAAAACAAACAATAAAAAAAGTGTATTACACACACTTTTTTTTTCTGGAGAGATGATTGTTACCTATTCACAAACACACACACACACACACACAAACACATTCATACAATCCTTGAAGTATCAAGTGAGAGCTTAGAATGAGAGGTGTGAGTTTTACAGAAGAAACTAAGGCCCTAGAAAATGGAAGTGAATTGCCCGAGGTGATAGAGGTAAGCTTATTTAACAATTCCTGAAATGGAGACTGAGTCCAGGTGGAATCAGATGAAGACCAAATTGTTGTCATTAAATGGATAGTTCTCTGGGGAAGTCAGTTGGGAGAAACATATTTGGAAATTAAAGTGATAAAACAAAAAACATCAATAATTACAATAAAAATGAGTGAAAAGGCACATAGAGTAGACTTGGATTTGTTTCAATGCTTTATTAGTCCAAATTGCCCTAGCTAAGAGCTATGGAACACAAGTTTACAGTGTACAGAATAGTTAAAAATTTTCCCTTCTCCCAAAGTGCAGGACTTCATATTTACAAAAGAATATTCTACTCATCATTCATCTATCTGCCTCCATAAATGCCATTGAAATAAGGACCCCAGATGCCCTACCTTGATTGTTTCTCACCTTTAGTTTATAATCATTGCCATACACTGGCATCATTCTGCACATGCCCAATCTCACCTTTGTTGAGTAGACTCTTCTGGCATCCTAGCAATGATCTGGCTACATTTGTGAGTCAAGGATCACCAGGGTTATCCTGATAAGTCCTTGATACCTGGCATTCTTGTGCAGAGATACCTATCCACCCAACCCACCCCAAGCCATTTTCTGATGTCTAGCAAGGCCTGTCTGGGTCTTGATTCCAAGAACTATATCTTGTCAGAACCTTTATTTTCTTTGTACAGGAATGTGAAATTCCTGATGTTGGACCTTCTTCCACCAGTATGATCCAGAATCCACTTCTGACTTAATAGGTAAATCTTAGGACATTTCCTAAGGCACATTAAAGTTAAGTGACTTGCCCAGAGTTTCATAAATAGTAAATGTTACATACGGAACTTGAACCCAGGAATTTCTGACACTAAGCCTGACACTCATAGGATCATTGAATTAAAGCTGGAAGGGACCTTAAGAGCCATCAAGCTCAATATTTTAATTTTATAGATGAGGAAACTGAGGATTAAGTGATGATATAGCTAGTAAGTGTCTCAGACAGGATTCAAACCCAAATCTTCCTGACTCTTTAAGTCCAATGCTCTATTTACTGCACATGGTGACTTTTTTGAGGCTAGGGTTAGGGTAGGGGTAGGGTAATATTAAGTTTAGACAGTTCTAAAAATAAGCCACAGCAATTAAAGTTAAGTGATAAAAAATATATAGAAGGTCTCGTTCTGGTAGAGTAATTACTCAGCTCCTCCCTACCTTGTCCTTTCTGACATTTGCCAGTTGTTATTGTTGTTTTTAACACTATTGGTTACTGTAACATTGCTATAGATGTTCAGAATAGGGAAGATCAGTAGGGGCTGAGTGGCTGACGTGTTTTCTAAGGAGGCTTCATAGAACTAGTCCTTGACTGATGGGTGGAATGTGAATCCAGAAACAGTAACTTCTCTATTAGAAGCAACCTTATGTCTAATTCAGATTTGGTAGGTGGGGAGAATGGAGATGGGGAAGGAATTATAATTCTTCCCATTAAGGGAGACATTTTGGCTTAGAAGCATAATCTTATATACAGAATATAGCTTTAGATTGGTTCCCCTCATAGCCCTGGCACACATCAGATCCTGCTGTAAGTTAGTCTCCCAGGCACAGGATGTTCTGCAGACACTGATTTTGAGCTCCATGTTACCATGTCTTTGTCATTCTTTCAGTATCTTTGTCAGAAGTACCCAAGAGACTATGGACCTTGCTCAAGGAACTATGATCCAATTTGTGGTAAAGATGATGTGACCTATATCAATCTCTGCTTTTTTTGCTGGACATTTTGGTAAGTGCAGAAAGTTTCAAGATGGTTCTCCCTCTGTCCTGCCAAATGATTAGCAGGATCCTAGGATACCCCAGAGGCATTCATTGCCCTGTCACAAAATTCATTTGTAAACCTACTATAGTAATAGCAGTTAACATTATAATTAAGCTTCCTCTGAAGTAACTAGAGGTCTAGACTCTTTCTGTGCACAGAACTCTCCACTCCTGATTCCAGTCTGGTATTTGAGGTTGTCTTATTAACTACCTAGGGTAGCCTTGCCAATTATAATAACTGTAGCCCAGTCTATAGCTGTTTCTGGTTTATTTACCAAGTGTCTCTTAATAAGTGGTTTTCTTAACAATCCTGCAAGGTATATAGAACAAGTACATCCTCCTAGTTAACCAATTCAACTCTGTACTCTCCTCTCTTTTCACATCCTTTGCTACCTTGTTCTATCACTGTTCATCCCCAGCTAAACCCCAAACCTGGAAAAGTTCCATCAGCTGCCTCTCTCCCTTCACTTTCTCAGCTGAATGCTCATACTTTACCAGGAAAATTTGAGGCCAATGATCTTTTTCTACCTTTCTCCTCATCTCACAATCCTTTGATATTGTCCCCCACTATTGCTTTTACTTCAATGTCGGGCAAAGGGATGATTCTTGCAAATTCCTAATCCTTCACATGTTCCCTTAATTCTATCCCCTTCCATCTTCTCTAATTGAAGATGCCTCCCCCCATCAACTTCTCTAAAGCCTTTAGTTTTTTCTTGTCTATTGGTTATTGCTTTGCTGCCTACAATACCATCAAATTTCCCCAAGACTTAAAAATCCCCACTATATCCTACCAGTACCACAATCTTTTTATCCTATACTTCTCTGACATTTTGCAGTCAAAATCCTGGAAAAAGCTGTCTACACTAATTCACTCCACTTACTCCTCTTTCTTCTCCTCATTACTCAATTGAAATTGCTTCCTCCTAGTTATTAATGATTTCTTAATTACCAAATCTAGTGGCCTTTTCTTAAAACTTATCTCTGTAACATTTCACACTCTGGGACACTCTCTTATTCCCTGACCACCTGCCTGACTGATTTGTCTTAGTCTCCTTTTCTCTGTCATAAGCCCTTTCATCATGAGAGGACTTCATAGCCTCTCACTTTGTGATCTCATCAACTCCCATGGCTTCAATTATCATCTTTATGCTGATGATTCTCAGGTCTATATGGCCAGTTTTACTATCTCTCCCAACTGCCAGTCCCACATAGTTAACTGCCTGGGAGATCTTTAAAATTGGATGTCTATGGGACAGCTAGGTGATGCAGTGGATAGAACACCAGCCTTGGAATCAGGAGGACTTGAGTTCAAATTTGGCCTCAGACACATATCATTCACCAGCTGTGTGACTCTGGGCAAGTCACTTAACCCCAATTGCCTCACCAATAAACAAAAAAATAATAATAATAAATAAAATTGGATGTCCTGTAGGCTTCTCAAAGTCAAAAACAGGAAACTAATTTTTTTACCCAAAATCCATTTCTCTTCCAAGTTTTCCTATTATGAAATATCATCCTTTCAGTCACCAAGGTTCAAAACTTCAGCATCAGTCATTCTCAATTTCCCACTCTCACCCACATAACTAATCAATTGGAAAATCTTAATTCTTCTTCCCCCACATCTCTCAGACCTGTCCTCTTCTCTCCACTTACACAGCCATTACCTTCATATGGGGCTTTATCACCTTTCACTTGAACTGTTGCAATAGCATACTATTTGTTTTTCCTGCCTCAACTAATTCCCCAAACATAAGCATGAATAAATCATGAGACAGATGTATCAGTAAGAATGTTCCCTCAGGATTTGCCAACATACTTGAATCCATGTTCTATGTAAGCTTATGTCACCTCTACAATCTACCCATCAGTCTCTGAAGTGATTTTCCTAAGTACAAGTCTAAGTCACTACCCTACTCAATGAACAATAGTGGTTCCCAATTACCTCTTAGTATCCTGTATAAAATGCTATGTTTGAGATTTTAGAAATCGTATTCAAATCCCAGTCCTGCCATCCTGGGCAAATAATTTAATCTCTTCTAGATATAGTATATGGAGTAGATAATCTCTTAGTCCATCCACTGCTCTAAATCTTCTAATTCCATGACTGTTTGTTTTTGTTGGGTTTTTGTTTGTTTTGTTTGTTTGTTTTGGCAAAGCAATTGAGGTTAAGTGATTTGCCCAGGGTCACACAGCTAGTAAGTGTTAATTATCTGAGGCTGGATTTGAACTCAGGTCATCCTGACTTCAGGGCTGGCACTCTATTCACTGCACTACCTACCTGCCCCCACTGCCATGATTGTTTAAGTAGGAAAAAACACCTCCACTTAATTCCCAGGCAACATCATAACATTTACTCAGGAATCACAATGAATTGGAATTCTACCCCTTGAACTCACATGTATATTCCAAACTATGGTTTTATTATCCACTCAAGAACATTTCAAATGCAAAGATTCAGCCTTCCTAGTCCTTCAGTAGGGGTGTACATAGTGGGGCCATAATTGAAGCACCTTCAGGTAAAAGGCCAGGTGTCAAATGGATCTTAGCTGGTTCCAAAGACACTACTGGCTTGCCTAGTTGTAGTTCCTGGTATTCAATGGACACTGGGCAAACCAAGATAATATGACCCTTGGACTAATTGGTTGTGTCTAATCTTCCTTTAACTTATAAACATTTTCATGTTCCATGGGAACATATAGGTACATGATGTCTACATCAGACCAAGTGAACTTGCTTCTTAAAATGGCTCTAATGTTCAAAATCAGTGTTCACTCTTCCTATATGTCTAAGGTTGTCTGAAAAGTTTCACCTTAACCCCCATAGGACAGTGCTGAGGTTTTGCTTCTACATGGAAATGTTTTTCTTTCTTCAGGAATGAATATCAAGGAAGAGTACATTTTAGGAAGTTTGGTCGCTGCTCTCAAAGGGAGACATAGTTTTGAAATGACTCTTTGGACCATTCTATTCCATGAACTGACTACAGACAAATACCTTCTCCTCAACTGGTCTTGCCTGTTCATCAATGGTTGTATGCTAAGCAAATTACTTTAAGTTTTATTCAGAAGAAATCTTTTTCTGATTATTACTATTTTTGAAATCATAAGATATCAAGTCTATGTTCATTCCCTCTCCTGCCCAGACATACTTAATTAAAATGCTATTTCTGACTAAAGCATGACCTGATAGGAGGTCAAATTTTCTACCTAGGGATATGAAGATAAAATTGTGCAAAAACTTATAATGGAACATATGTGATTTTCCAGAGATATGGTGGCAGATAGCAATATTAGAGAGAAAGGGTGCCATCCTGTAGTTAAAGTGACTAGGACTTAATTTTGGCTCTGTAATTAAATCATTGTGTAACCTAGGATAAGTCATTTCTTTTCTGCAAGCCTCAATTTCCTTTTCAGTAAAATGAGGGTGTTCCAGTTATGACATTCTATGTTACATGTTCTAAAGCCCCTTTCCTCTGTATAAGTCCTGGGTTTAACATCATGACACCTCCTAGCAGTATAAACATGGTTTCATCATCTCGTCGAATGAAAAATCCATCCTGAAATATTAGCAACTCATTCATACAGATGTCTCTAATGAAAGTGGATTGTAGGACCTGAGGTATTCACATAATATACGCAGTTCTCCAGTTTTCTATATATGTGTAGGCATCATCTTCCTATCACATTATACCTCAGTATCCCATTGTATAATCCTCTGCTAAATCCTGAATAGATTGTATACACTAGCTTGGTGTAGTAAAAATGGCCAAGATCTTAGAGCCAATAGAGCTGGGATCAAGGTCTGTCTTTTTCACTCCCTCATTGTATGACTCTAGGGGAATACCTCACCCTTCTAAGCCTATTTCATCATCTGTAAAATGTTAAACTACCTGATCTCTGAGGACTCTTCTAGCTCTGATGTTTTCTGATGATGATTCATGATGATTTGAAAGGAGTTCAATAGATACCTGTGATCTCTTTCTCTATGAAGGGAATATTGGAAAATGATTGTTGTCCTTCCTTTTTAGGAGGACCAAAATGATATCACTATGCTAGAGTCAAGTTTTACTGTATCCTACTGTGGCTGATCAGACCAATATAAGCCTGGAATGTTCTACCACAGGTCGGGCACAAATAGCCCATGTGAACATTTGGGGTGGATTCTCTAGGTTTGTGCATCTTGTGTTTCCCTTGAGCTATTTAAATTCTACTTTGCTGATACAGCACAGCACCTTTTCTGATGTAGGCATGTGGTGCTAAGCGGTCATGGCCCATGCCACACAACCAATTCCAAAGTTCTTAAGAGAAACCTTGAGAGTGTCCTTGTATTACTTCTTCTGACTACCATGTGAACGCTTGCCCTGTGTGAGTTCTCTATAAAATAGTCTTCTTTGGTAAGCATACATTTTGCATTCGAACAACATGGCCAGCCCATCAGAGTTGTGCTCTCTAAAGCAGAGTTTGAATGCTTGGCAGTTTATTTGAGAAAGGACCTCAGTGTCTGGTATCTTATCCTGCCAGGTGATCTTCAGAATCTTTCTAAGATAATTCAAATGGAAGTGATTCAGTTTCCTGGCATGGCACTGGTATACAGTCCAGGTTTCACAGGCATACAACAATGAAGTCTGCACAATGGCTCTATAGACCTTCAGTTTAGTAGTCAGTTTAGTACCTCTTCTCTCCTATACTTTCCCTCAGAGCCTCCCAAACACTGAGCTAGCCCTGGCAATGCCTGTGTCAACCTCATTATCAATGTGTACATTCCTGGAAAGTGCACTACCAAGGTAAGTGAACTTAACTACAGCATTGAAAACTTCTCCATTTGCTATAACCGATGGTTCCATATATGGATGATGTGGTGGTGGCTGATGGAGCACCTGTGTTTTCTTGGTGTTAATTATTAGGCCAAAATTTGCACAAGCAGCAGAGAATAAATCCATACTTTGTTGCATCTCAGCTTCAGAGGTTGCATTGAGAATACAATCATCTGCAAACAGAAAATCACGTACCAACATTCCCTCCATTTTGGTCTTGGCTTGAAATCTTTTCAAGTTGAAGAATTCACCATCAGTGCTGTAGCTGACCTTGATGCCATGTTCATTCTCATTGAAAGCATTTCACAACATGGCTGAAAACATCATGCCAAAAAGCATGGGAGCAAGCACAAGCCTTGTTTCACTGCATTGGTGACTAGGAAAGCAGAAAAGTATTGTCCATTATCCAGAACTCAGGCAAGCTTGCCGTCATGAAATTGATGTGCAATACTGATGATCTTCTTGGGGTAACCAAATTTTGACACAATTTTCCATAAGCCCTCACAACTGACAGTATCAAAGGCCTTGGTCAGATCTACAAACATTGTATACAGACCTCTGTTTTGTTCCTGGAATTTCTCCTGGAGTTGTTGAGCTGCAAACACCATATCAACTGTTCTTTGGCCCTTTCTGAAGCCACACTGGCTCTCAGGTAGATAACTATCTTCCAAGTGAAGGATCAGCCTATCAAGGAGGACTCTGGCAAGAATCTTGCCAGCAATGACTAAGAGAGAGACCCCCACCCTGTGATTGTCACAGAACAATTTATCTCCTTTACCTTTAGAGAAATGGACAATGGAGGCATGCTTAAACTCCTGGGGGATAATCTCCTTTTGCCATATAACCTGGAAAATTTCAGTCAGCTTTTGTATGAGCAGTAGACCCCCTACCTTGTAAATATCAGCTGGAATAGAATTGGCACCATGTGCTTTGCCACAGGAAAGGAACCTAATGGCATTCAAAACCTCTTCTTCAGTTGGAACTTCAGCTAGATAGAGATTGACTTCAACCTGAAGTAAATAGTCAGTGGCTTCAGCATTGATTGATGATGGTCTGTTGAGAACGCTATGGAAGTGTTCAGCCTATCTCTCTAGGATCATGTCCTTATCACTAATCAATGTGACTTCATCAGCATTGAATAGTTAAGATGAGTCTTTGGCCCATAAATAGCCTTCAGGGCATCATAAAAGTAGTTTGGATTGTTACTATCAGCATAAAACCGAATTTCATCTGCCTTCTTAGTAAGCCAAGAATCCTGTATCTTTCTAAGCTTTGCTTGTACTTTACTTTTGATGGAATTAAACGCTGCCTTGTTAGAGATGGATGAACTACCTGCTAATAAACCCTGTGGAGTTCTCATTTTTCATTTAACAGCTTCTGAATTTCCCCATAATTTTCATCAAACTGGTCTTGATATTTGTGAATGTTCTGACCCAGATAAGCAAATGCAATACTATACACCAAATCACTAAAAGCTGTCCACTCCTTTTCTACTCCACTGTTGTCAACATTGTTGACTCAACTTTCTCTCCATGTTAGCAACAAACTGTGCTCCTCTCAGAGAAGAGCACTAATCTGTTGACATTAATTCCTCTGGTAGTCATTTTGCCTTGGGGATGCCACTTTTGTTGAATGTGAGTATTTAGCTTAGAGAATAAGTCTATAATCAGTCCAGTATTCTGTGCCACACATTGCCTTCATCACTCTCACATCCTATCTGTCTCTTCTCCTTACAATCACATAGTCTATTAAATGTTAATGTTTGCTGCAAGGGTGCATCCATGAAGTTTTATTGCATTTAGGTAAATGGAAGACAGTGTTGGTGATGAGGTCATGAGGATTGTGTGTGGGGCAAGGCCAAGATGGCAGAGTAAAAGCAGTGACTTGCTTGAGCTCTTCCCCAAAGCCCTCCAAATACCTGTAAAGTTGACTCTAAATTGTAGGGCAACAGAACCCACCAAAAAGATACAGTGAAACAAATTTCCAGCCCAAGACAACCTGGATGGTTAATTAATTGGAAAGGCCTGTTGCACTGGGCTGGGAGAGGAGCACAATTCAGTGTGGGCCACACAGGCAAAGATCAGACCTCAGTGAATGTGGAGCAGGCCTCAGGATACTGAATCACAGGCAGCTGTGGTGGTTTCCAGACTTCTCAACCCACAAATGCCAAAGATAACTTAGAAGGTCAGTAGGAAAGGTCTGTGGGACCTGAGTGAGAAAGCGCTATTAGGCCCCAGTCCTGGCACAGCCCTGGGGCAGTGGCAGCTTCCAGAGCTCTCAGCCCACAATCAGAGAGGGAATCAAGCAGCTGATCAAAGAGGGATTACAAGAATCTCTCTGCTGGTGCTCAGGCAGGATTCCCTTGCTTTGCCTATGCTTGGATCTGGGTTGCAGTTCTAAGTAGAGATCCTGGGGCAAGGAGGAGTGCTGGCGTGGTGGAGCTTGTGGTGACAGTGGAGAGGGAATCCTCCTCACAGTTCCAAGGTAGAAAAGAGTGCTTGTGGCCTCTCATAGATAAGAGCACCTGCCAGGAAAGGAATAAACACTTCACCTTTGATCATACTACCTTGGAAGAACTGAAAATTTATAGGTCCCTAGAAGTTCCTCTGAAAACAACTACACAAAACCTCTGAAGCTTGGGACAGTACATTTTTCACACTTGAAGCAGACCCCTACCTTAACAAAGAGTTTAAAAGTGAAGTAATTGGCTGGGAATATGAGCAAACAGTGCAAAAAAAAAAAGTCAGACCATAAAATCTTACTCTGATGACAAAGAAGATCGAAACATACAACCAGAAGAAGACAACAAAGTCAAAGCTCCTACATCCAAAGCCTCCAAGAAAAATGTGAATCAGTCCCAGGCCATGGAAGAGCTCAGAAAGGATTTTGAGAAGCAAATAAAAGAAGGGGAGGAAAAATTGAGAAGAGAAATCAGAGTGATACAAGAAAATCATGAAAAACAAGTCAACAGTTTGCTAAAGGAGACCCAAAAAATACTGAAGAAAATAACACCTTAAAAAATAGCCTAACCCAAATGGCAAAAGAGGTCCAAAAAGTCAATGAGGAGAAGAATGTCTTCAAAATCAGATTTGGCCAAATGGAAAAGGAAGTCCAAAATCTCGTTAAAGAAAATATTTCCTTAAAAATTAGAATGGAGCAAATGAAAGCTAATGACCTTATGGGAAATCAAGAAATTGTAAAACAAAACCAAAAGAATGACAAAATAGAAGAAAATGTGAAATATCTCCTTGGAAAAACAACTGACCTGGAAAATAGATCCAGGAGAGATAATTTAAAAAAATTATTGGACTAACTGAAAGCCATGATCAAAAAAGAGCGTAGACATCATCTTTCAAGAAATTATCAAGGAACACTGCCCTTATATTCTAGAACTAAAGGGTAAAATAGAAATTGCAAGAATCCAGTGAATGTTGAAAACTGAAAATAAATAAATTAACTTAATAAAAAGAGAAGGTCATGAGCTGCATAAGTCTTCAGTAGTAAGTGATCATTGCTGTTCCTGTTTCCAATTCCATTCCTCCCTAGACCTCCCTGCCAAGCCTGGTAGTCTGATCCTACTCTAGCATTAAAGTCACCCCGAATTATAAACTTTTCCTCTTTTGGTACATTGATGATAAGGGTCTCCAGGTCTTCATAAAATGTTTCTTTAACCTCATCAGGGTTTGTCATGG